AAATGAAGAGTGCAAAGACAAGGCTGGGGTTATTCAAATCTTTGATAAGTGTTTTGTCCTCAGCACGACAGGTAAGCAAAACCCAAACATGCATTACTGCAAGACTAGCCAGCTACAATATCACATCTACAGAGAAGAAAGATCTGTACAACTGAATGTGGACTAAGCACACAGGGAGTAGATAGTTCAGGCTACTACATCTGGTGCTAAGTATCAGCACAGCTGGATTCTTAATAAATTTTGCTGCAATTTAAGCCCTTCTCACTAAACTGTGTCTAAACGTAGGCACTAGTTCTCCCAACTATAGCATTTAACTGATGTAATCGCTTACTTTCCTTGTCCAAAATTAAGCAATAAGGAAAAATAGCCTCAAGAGGCTGGAGGATTACACCTACCATAACCTGCAATTCCAATCACGCCAAAGATAAAAAAGCAGAAAATAACCCCAGCTGTGAACCTCAATAACACAAGGAAGAGCAGACTCACAATCACTGCAATGAACAGCCCACTAGAAAGACGAGAAACAGAAACAGGGGGAGAACAAGTGTGAGAATCCTTCTTGCACGCCTCTTACTCCAAATGAGGGTCACTTCATCTCATGTAGGAGAATGGTTTGTAAAAATGTATTTCAAAATCTTCCTTATGAAATATTTTCTCATGGCTCTCTGCTCGTAGAAACAGACAGATTATATATGATGATCTCACCAGACACAGCCAGAAATGTCTGTGCACACTGACCTCTCAGGGCATCTGAATGGGACCAGTACAGGTCTGGTTTGGTCATTTATACTGGCTGACCAACTCACTGCCTTTCCCAGGCCATGGCCTAGTCTAAAGCACACAAAGTTAAATGGGAGAAATACCTGTGTGTGAGGAGGTTGTTGGTTTATGTCCTCCATTTAAAATCCCTGCTTGCAAAGAAACAGTATTAGGAAAGTACCATTTGAGGAGCTTTCCTAGAATTCATTTCAGGAGGAAAACCAGTGACTCTTTCTACCCATCGGAGAGGAAAATGATCAGGGCATAGTGATGCATAAAAAGAACCTGTTAAGTGGGACCCCTAGGAAGGACATCTCCAGTGTCTTTATCAAGTCTGTGGTAAGGAAACATTGGCTTTCATTTCACTCCCAGAAAGCAAGTCAGAACTGAAAGAATGACTGCAAAAGGCCTTTTTACTCAGAGGGGGTCTTCTAAAGCAATGTGTATAAAGCAGTGTGAACAACGGTTCCATCCAACCAAGATCCAGCTCAGACACTTCCCAGAACTTTTCATTTCTCAGAATTTTGAGGTGTGACATCGGAATTTTGTATTAGAACAGACTCAAAAGAAATGAAACCCTCTTCTTGCCTGTGATGAGGAACTTCTCTTCTGAACGTTCCCAGTTTATTTAGCCAGGGACTAAAGATAAAATATGGGTCAGCCTGATCACAAATAATCAGAACCGGATGTTTTGGGCAAACTAAGCCAGACGGGCAGAGGGACAAGAAGAAGAACATCAGTTTATTTATTTAGTTAAACCTTTGTAAACTGGTCTGAAGACCTAGCCCTTTAAAGGCTTCCCAGCTTGATGTGTTCTCCCTTTCTGAATGGCTTGTTTGAAATTCAGAATGTATTCCTCAAAAAAAAAGCTGTTGTTTTGGAGTTCCAGACTCTGTTTTTTAAAGCGCTTAAGTTACCTTTATCTACAGTTAGCTTCAGATTTACACGAGCCCTAGTAACACCAAAACTGAATGAATAAATGGTAGCAACCGTCCTTAACAGAGGGGTTCCCTTCAACTGAGCCTTGAAAGCAGCAGTTCTTCGGGACGAAGATAAAAAGAACAGAAAAATTCCATATCTGACTTTTAATCCCACCTCCTTTCCCCAGCAGGCCTTCACTCTCATCACCCAAACTCTGGCACTGGATGCATGCTGTCATTGGGTGAAAAGTGAGAGGAAAAGTCTATCCAACTACTTTAAAAGTAACCATAATTCCTTATAAACGTATCCTATTTGACATGTGGAAACTGGCTTCAGGATTGAGAAACTGTGTTCAGAAAATGGTCAGTTCTCTCCCCAGCCCATCTGTTGAGCAGTATCTCTTTTGAAAGAATCTGCACATGAAGCCTGATTTCAATAAGAGATCTAGAGAGAACGGCCATTTAGGCACACATACTTATGCATTTGCTTCAGCAAAAGAGCTACGTCTTTTGTTTTGGTGCTGCATTTTGAATAAATGCTGATTATTGAGTAAGAACTGCAAGATAAAGCTAACTCTGTTTAATAGGTTTTGTTCTTTAATTTGCTTTGCCTGCTGCACATGATTTATGCATAATGAATTTAACTACATATTGCTAATATCAATTTGGGAATTGTGATGTGTTACATATAGATACTTGTAACATTTAACAATGGCAATTGGTTAGAAAGTCCCTTAATCAAGATTTTTTCAGTTTGGAATTACCATGGAGATGGGTCCTGCAACAGAAGACAGCACCTCTTGAGTCTCTGCATGACAGGATATCAAAAAGCTACTCCAGACCATACTGTATGCATGGATGCTGTGCTATCCTTACCTCAATTACAGAACCATAACACCACCACGGCAGAGTTTAAAAGTAGGCTTGGTAACAAACACGTACGTGATCTGTTTTTCAATCCCCTACAGGCTCCAAAGTGAGTTTGGAAAACTGTAAAAATACCCATTAGAATCTTACATTAAAATCCAGTACCAAGACATGGCAAAGTCTTCAAAACTTTTTCCTCCAATTGGTCTTGCAAATAGGCACAGAGACAGAATTGGAAATATCTTTGCTAGAGATGAGTGCATTACTGTCCTCCAGCTCTAGTTCCATCACCAAGCCAACCTCACCCACAGTTACACCAAACCAAAACAACTGTCAAAATGTCCATATGGCTCCTGAAACAGCTTTAGTAAAAAAAAGTACTCACTCTCGCCAGATAGAACTGATCATTATTATGACACAAGTGCACGCTATTCAGGTCTGTAGTGGACCAAGAGCCAAACAGTTGTCACTCCAGAACTGCTAATAGCAGGGAACCAGAAAACAGCTCAGTGAAGCAAAAGGAAAACTTCTTGGGGTTGTTGTCCTAGCCTGCAAAGTGCTTGCCCACATGAATGTTTTCCTCAGAAGAAATGATGGATCTTCTGATCAAAGAATAAACAGTGTAGTTGCAGAGACCAGAAGAAGGAAAATTCCTAAGGTGCGGGTGTTAGCACTGCTGCCAAGGTGCCCGGATGTGGCAGCCTCAGATCAAGAGGTAAAAGAAGGTATCCCTGTGCTCCAGACAGGCAGGCCGAGGATGGAGAGCAGCTGGAAAAGGGAGGCTATTGCAGCGGTTTTCTCTCATCCTGGTTGCTACCCAGGATTCGAGATGCTTGCTGTCCATCTGCAAGGGAGGTGCTGCCTGGCGTCAGAGCCCAGGACATTGCCTGTTGACCTTCAGACATGTACTAAACACAGCAGCACGCTGAGGAGGTGAGATGCCAAAGTACTAGGACAGTCCACGGTAGTAGAAAGGCCGCTGTAGGAAAGGAGAGCTGAGGCCATTACTGCCTGGCCCGAGTCCTGCTGCATGAGGATTTCATTTTGAACCTCCTTTAACTTCTCTTGGTACTATTTTTTGCTAGGAAAACCAAGCAGAATGCTTTAAAAACTGACAGTCATTCTGAGGCAGACTAAGGCTTTTGGCTCCTTGCTCACTTCTGCATACCACAGCGATGGTTTTCCTTACTGGAACTTTGCAAGTGCTCAGGCACAGAAACCATCTGCTAGGCAAATCTTGTCTGGGTACCCTCAGCCATTTGCTACAACAGATTCTGATCTTTGTTTTTCAATTCCTAAATTATCATTTCACACTCTCAGAATCCAACACGCAAGCACTCGAGAAGGGTAATACCTACTTTGCAGCTTTCCTGAGATCGGTTACATTTCTTGTTTTCCCTCTTCCATCTTCGTGGAGAAGTCTGGGAAGCATCTCTAGTCAAATCCTACTCAACTACTCGAAATACCAAAAGCAAGCAGAAATGTTACACCTCACGTCAAGCTCCACTTTTGGTGTCTCTTGTAACATATTAAAAACTTTTCAGAGTCAAGGTCAATTGTTTTTCAGCCGATTATCTAATGGAATATTTACTCTGAGAACTCTTGGAAGAGGCATTCTATTCAAAATGAGGATTTTTATGTTCTGGGACTTTTTGTCCCAGCTCAGGCAGGTGCAATCACAGCTTTCAACTGGAGATTCTAGGGGCTACCCAGTAACAACAGCAGTATCTGCAGCAGTTTCAGAATTTGGAACAAATGCAGAACTTACTCTCTGTCACTATCTGGGCAGCTTGAAAAACCTATGGCTTCTTCTTCACGAATGCTATTAGCACCCAAAATACATAACAGCAAGTGTCAGTTCCTCATATGCCAAGTGAGCTCCAGCACCAGCCGCTATCACTAGACATTCTTGGAGAAGAAGCAACAGAAAAAAGACAGAAACTATTGGTTAGACAGAGGGAGGAGGAGATTATAAAAGAGAGAGTCAAGGACAGATGTTCACATACTCATTTATGCTGCCCTGCTCTTTGCTGCACCAAATACTTGTTCTCCTTCCAAAGGGAAGAGCGGGTCAGTCCTCCTGCACAGCTGTACTTCACCTTTATCTAACAGTTCTGCACTTTCCATATGAGCCATAAATGAAAGAATCACAGAGTATCTCCCTAATGAGCACAAGAATACATGTTCCTGTCTTTCACACTGCCACCTCCTGTGCTCATCAAGATGCCCTCCTGAGCTTAGGTGGTTTCCTTGTAATGCTTATTTCTATTGAAAGTGATTTGCATCCTACTAACCCTTAAACCTGTCATAATGGAATTTGAGAAACCCAAGCTGGATCAACCGATTTTTAATGAAGTCATCTGACAGAACAATGCATGCCAGGAGGTAAACTGCTCTTTTGCTAGAGTTATTCTCAATTACCTGTACGCAGATGTTGGTTTGGGGCTGCAGCTGTGGTGACTCACGTCCAGTGCAAGTGGGTGTATTCACCGGCAGCAGATGCTGGCATTGAAGACATGGTGCCATCTGAAGAAAAAGCCACACCATGTAATGTTATTAAGTTTATCAAGAGGTTTTCAGTATTTCCATGGTTACAGTCTGCAGCAGCAAAGTCACTAGAAACAGAGCAACTGATAGCCACAGCTGCTGGTACGGATCCTTACATAGCTAAGGCTATTGGGAAAATATGGAGACAACTGCAAAGAGTGACTTTACTGACAACTAAAACTAGGCCAGAAAGGTACTAAGTCAGTTTCCACTAAAATTAAAAGCTGCTGTCAATTGTAGGAATCGAAATCCTCCCAATTATGAACCTAATCTAAAGAGGTGGTGAATACTCTCAGTCATCACTTGAAACTACAACACTGCCCCAGACAACACCTCTTTCTGATGAGATGGGGGAAAAATTATACCACTGACTTGTTAGATCAGGTTATTATCTCTTGGGAAGAGCTGAGACAAGACAGTTACAGACATCCCTGTAAAAACTTGGTGCTCTTACATATATGCCCACATCTGCCACCATTCAAGGTTTCAGGCATTTCAGCTTTTCATCTTTTATGGCTGTAACACAAGCAGTAGTTACTAACTACCTGAACTAGTTAGCACTGAAACAAGATGCCTATGCAGGTCCTCAAGATGTTGTGGTATTGAATAAACTCACAGAATCACAGAATTCCAGAGTGGTTTGGGCTACAAGAGACCTTAAAGCTCCTCCCCGTCCAACCCCCTGCCACGGGCAAGGACACCTTCCACTAGAGCACCTTCCTCCAAGACCCATCCAACCTGGCCTTCAACACTGCCAGGGATGAGGCAGCCACAGTTTTTCTGGGCACCCTGTGCCACTGTCCCTCCACCCTCACAGGGAAGAACTCCTTTTTAATATCTAATCTCAATCTCCCCTCTGGCAGCTTAAAGCTATTCCCCCTTGTCCTGTCCCTACATTCCTTCTCCAAAGCCCCTCTCTAGGTTTCTTCTAGCCCCTTTAAGCCCCACAGCTGCTCTAAGGTCCCCCCTTAAGGAACCTTCTCTTCTGCAGGCTGAACAAGCCCAGCTCTCTCAGCCTCTTATGTTTATCTCCTGGGCTCTGGGTGGAGGCCAATGATCCACAGAGGACGTGGATGAGAAATTAATAAAATATACTATACTTTCTCACAGTTTTCTGCAGTCAAACCAAAATGCAACAGTTGAAGAGCTTGATCTTGGAAGCAATCAAGACTGCTACCATGTAGGAAATAACTCATATGCCAGTAATACTGCTTCAATGCATCAAATTAAGAGCAAGTAGAGCTGGTGCATCAAAATACCTGGGTTAATTTTCTACGTTCCTTAACGAAATTTGTTCTCATCAAAATCATCACAAAACGCAAACAAAAGTCTCGAGGCTCAAAGTTTCACATGGACACCTAAGAGAAGTTTTTACCTGGATTCAAAGCTCTTACTCAGACCTGATTTCGTTTCTAGAAGAGCATTTGCGTCTACTTCATGGTTAGCCTTCTCTGGAAGAGGGATTCCAAATGGGACCACCTGAGGAACTGGCACAGAGCCAGCCATCACTTTCTCCACAGTGCTCTTGAAAGAAGAAAAACAAAAAGGCAGACAACAATGTTTCTGAACAGAAGAATGCATTGACAGATACGGTCTTTTCATGGCATTCCTGCCTTCATTTGTTTCTCTTAAAAGAGACAACACCAGGTTCTTTAAAGTGTTATTCATCATGGCATGGTTTTCACATTGGAAAAGAGCAAGGAACCAACAACTATTCCAATTCCAACTTACTCTCCTCTTGCAGAACTGTGAACAAAGCTTGAGATGAGCACTGCTGCTTTCATTTCACTTTGACCTTCCTTGCTTAAGTCTGGTTCCCACCTGAAGCTTTAGCATCATACATCAATGATACCTGATAGGAGTGAGTAACAGGGAAGTCTCTCCACCCTAGTGGCACATTGGAGCCAGCCTCTTGTTCCATTGCAGCCACCTGAATAGATACAAGATGTCCTGCAAAGGGCTAAAGCAAGACAGCCATTGCTTAAGCTTATCTCAGCTTCTGTATTATGAATATACCTATAAACAGGTGCCAGACATGATTTATCATAATTTACAGAGGCATTATCATGTCACACGATTCAAGACTGACAAACTGCATTTGCATACAATAACATTTTGCAATACAAAACGATGGACTCCAGATCTTGGGAACCGATCCGCAGGGCCAGGAAACATGCCTGCGCTGCAAGTGTTTCCTTCTGTAAGCAACCCTTTAATCCTCCAGACACACCTCTTACACTGCTCAGCAATGCAGACAGCACTGATTCAGCACAGCAGGGGTTCCTCAGTCTGTGCTCTGTCTGGGGCTATGCTGAGAGAAGCCACAGCACTGTCTGCAGGTGCCCATCTCCTTGGCTGGGTTGCCCCAGAGCAGTGGTTCAGGACAGGGGAAGTTCTCAGCCAAACTCTCTTGGGCTGCACACACACGGTGTGCACAGGACACACAAGAGGGGGGGCTCAGATCTTTACCTGATGGGAAGGGGCAGCGAGCAGCTTTCCTCAAGGAGCTGCCTGCTCCTGGCACCCCTGCACCAAAAACACAGGACCTCGGTTCAGCCTCCAGAGAGCCCAGCCCTGCTGGGACACAATGGTCCTGCCGCCATGCCCAGCCCCTGCCCCAGCGTGGGCTATAAGACTGCCGAATCAAATGGCAGTGATGCACTGCAGAGGACACCAAAGGGGTGACACAGATCAGGAGAAAGGGAACCGACTGGCAGATTTAGAGGCAAAAAGAGTGGCAGAAGAAGGAGAGGTAAACCTATTGGCCGTAAGAGCAGATGGAAAGATAGGAAGTGTTAATCCTGAAATTTCTGCTTCGAAGGAAGATTTAAAACTAGCTCAGGATTTAAATGCACAACTTCAAGATAAAATGCATGGGAATCTCAAGTAGGAATCTATAGTGGGAATCTTCAATAAGACTCATCTTAATTCTTGCTTCCTTAAACACTGATGGGAAAATAATGTAACTTCTCAGCACTGGTGGAAAGACAAATGAAAGTTATCTTACGTCTGTGTAAACTGAGACTGAACATTTTACAGCGCCTTCTCTTGTTGCCCCGTTGAGTTTGGCTTTGAGCCTTACAATAAATAATTCAATACCTGGAAAAAGTTCTTTGACACATACTAGTGAAGGGATTTTCAAAATATTCACTGCTGTGAAGCAGGATTTATTTTCTCCCAGTATGTTTTTGAGGCTTTGGCTACTTTTTTCCAGTTGTTGGACTGGGAGGGGCATGGGAAATGAAGTTCATTGAAGGTGATTCAATAAAAAGCTGAAGCAGATATTCGTAGAACAGCTTAGGTTTAAGAGTCCTGTGCTGAGATTTTTGATCCTAATTATGGATTGAGCTGTTCAGTTCTGTGGAAGGCCACTTACTGTATAGTATTAAAGTTTTTATGCTTTGTAGAAAGAAAAGGAACAGCTGTTTGCTCCATCCAGTCCCTTGTTATCAGTCACTGGACTACAGGGTATGACTTTGTTTCTCCTTCTTAAATCTTTCCTCGTGCTTCTGTTTCACTGTTTGTAAACTAAATGTGGTGGTGTAAGGCTGCAGGAGGACTGACTCCAGCTCAGTTGTTAAATCAGTCTTCTATACATTGCTAACTTGGACCAGCACATTAATTGTGAGGTTGTTGGCAGTCTAGAATATGCAGGACTTTTGGTTTCCCCCTGCCTCCCCAGAGAACTTACTGTGGTCCTGAAGGTTAGGTAAGTCAAGCTCATTGTTAGGGGAAACTTGGTTACACAGAATCAGTGTTTCCTTCTCAGGTAGTCCACAGCTTCAGAGCTGTCAATAAAGGGCATTAAAAAAGTGAGGGCAGTTAGAAGTATATGCTGTCCCACTCGTTATAAATGATAAGCAAATAGGCATTAGATATAGTCACTCTCATTTTTGTATATAACTTGGTTGTAATTGCACTTCATCCCACGTAACCCAAAGTCTTCATTGTTCTAAAAAGGTATGCTGTGTGTCAGCATCAAGACATACATTATTTTTGTTACTTTTCTGTGACTTTCAGGTGGTATTTACAAATTGTATTAAATTGTAATAACTTCAATTACTTGAGGAGTTGTCTGGATCCTCAGTGTTGAATTTGGCATGCATAGTGCAAGAGCAACTTACTGTTCATGGTTTCATGGGGTTCAGGTTTTGACAATTACAATGTGTGCTTCTGCAAAGACTTTGCGTTTCATTCTGTGCATGTATTTGCATTGGTTTGTTGTTTTTTTTTTTGTTTCATTTGGTTTTGGGTTGTTTTTTTTTAGTATATATATTGCTGTAGTATTTTTTGAAACAATTTCTCCTATTTGTGGCAGACAATGTTTTAAAACACTAGTTAATAGCAATGGTAAAGGATAGTAGTAATTCCTATCAGATGTTGTGGACATCATTTCAGTTTTACAAAAAGCTTTAAATGACCCTAAACTGACAGTGTGTGTCCGTGGCATTCGAGGAACGATAACTTTGTAGATTGAAAATCATCTTACTTTTACCTAAAAGTGCCTTTTCCTTTCCTGTCTTTTCCTTTCTTGAAAAAGAACAGATGTTCTTTTTCATTAATTGATATATGAGCGACTTTGCCAGTTTCTTAGGGCATCATTTCCTAAGCTCAAATAGGTCTATATTTGACTCCTCCTTCGAAGGGAGTAACAGAATGTAACCATAACACCTTCTCCAATCCCACACTGTAATTAAATTGTAATTAAATACATATTTATAAAATATATCTATATAAAAATTGTAATTAAAAATAAAAAAAAACTGTAATGCTTTTTGTAACTGTTTCATCAACTATCCATGTCAGGGAAATATGAATCACAGGGGAACTTCATCTGTGTTGTTTCAACTGCCTGCTTCAAAGTTTGGTTTGAATGTCTGTCATAAACCCAGGGAAGTTCTTTGCTTCCTCCACATGATCATCAAGCAGCTTCTGTCTTGAAAATAATGAAGAGGCCCTCAGAAAGAAACTTGTGTTTCAGAAGTCTTTTGTACCAAAGCTGGATACCTGCTTAGCAAATGATTCACATTTCTTTATCCTTTCCAATACATTCATCCAAGTCACTGATGCTGACACTGATTAGCAGATTATAATTAGCATTTTCAGATTGGTAGCTGGAAAAGGACATCTCTTTTTGACAAATGCCTTCCCAATGACTGGCTATGCAAATACCATTTTTTCTGGCAGCCATGAATACTGCTTTTGCGTGCTCTATACTCCCAGTTTGACTTTTGGTGTTGTAACCTTGCATTCTGAGAACTGAATGTGAGTGGATCACATTCTGTAGTAAGATTACGAGTCGAATCTTAGTCTAGCTAATCATCATCTGTTAATATTATCTCCCGTTCAGATGGTGGGGCTGTAGTGCAAGAAAGGAGCTCATGACAGGAAAATCAAGGGTAGAAGGACTATGAGGAAGATGTTAGAAGAAAGCTCCCCAAGAGCTGTGGAGACAGTAGTTTATAAGTGTGAAGTGGACTTCCCCTTCAAATACGCTGTGGATCTCAGATTCACCAGTGCTTGGCTTAGGCTCTGAAGCCTAAAGGGGGGGAATGGTCAGAAGGGGGCTGCAAGAGTGAAGAATCAAAGACATTTCTGGGAGAGTGTTCTGGGGCTCTTCATAGCAAAACATGTCTGACTTGCACTGCTGCTGATTTGTAGTTTTTAGTACAGTTAAGGCAGAGCTTAGTTAAAAACACGCAATCAAATGACAGCAAGTAAATATGCACAGTGGCTTAATACACAGGTGCAGATGAAATTGCTTGTGTTGCTAAGTGAATTAGAGAGTGGGATTTGTAATGCTAGTTCTAGAGTAAGCACTTCAGTGTGAAGCTAATGTGTTAATGATTTTGTGCCTCAGAATAAAGCTAATTAGCACACCTCTGGTAAAAGTTTTCCAGACTACCAGTGGCAGTTTTCCACTACCAGTGTCGTGGTCATTTCAGACTGGACAAAAATCATAATGGCACCCAATGGAGACATTTTGAATAGATCACTAATTTGCTCTCTGTTTGACAACACTCCAAAGCAAATCATAGAAAAGTATCAGCTCATACTGCCTTACTGGGTGAAAGCATCTGCAAACTGCCTGGGTTTTCCTCATGCCCCTCTTGGCAGCAGTACTGAGGTGGGATGTGCCAGGATGCATGGTATTTCATGTGAAGTTTGTAGTGATGACTGTAGTACTAACTTAGCACCTTGATGAAATGAACATCATTTGCATTAAGACTAGACATTTCTTTTTGTGTAGATGAAGGAGGTGTAACTGTGGATGATAATTACACTAGGAGAGCAGCGCAATATCCCTTGGCCATATATTTCTCCCATATTTCTCCAACCTGTGAATTAAGGTTGAGACTCTTGAGCTTATCTGCTCTGACTGTGGACCTTTGCATTTTATTATCTGTTCTTATCTATGTATACGTGTCAGTTTCTGATCACGAAGATGTCTTTTCTGCACACATTACACCCAGTAATTCTGGCCATGTAAAACTGCTGGGGCTCAGTGGTGCATGGAAACCACTTCCCAAAAGCCTTCAAGGTCTCCACTTCTAAAATAGGTTGTTGGTGGTGATTTTCTTTCACAAAGATTCTGTTGAAGAGTTACACACTTCTATACTGAGTGAAGACACTGAAGACAAGCTACAAAAGTAGTCTTACTTTGCTTTCTGTTGCAGTGCTAAGCGTAAAGGTGTTACAAACTCCAACTTACTTGTTCTGTGCTGGAAACAGCAATTCTGTTATGGGAAGAGGAGAACGGTCAATACTTTGCTCCTCTCAGTGCTTTCATTTAACTTCCAGCTCTGCCTTTTAAACTTCAGTTTAACTCTACAGTTACATTCAACCTGCTTCTTCAGTGGGTTTAACTACGGGGTTCTGTCCTTGAATTTGCAGAGGACTTTGTCTGTTGCAGATTTATGTTGGAGTTTGTTGGGGTTCTTTTCTGCCTGAATTTTATTTTTCCTTTTAAATAACAATTCAAACTCCTCCTTGTATTTTACAGTTTTTCTATTACGA